ACGACAAGATTTATCGAAGCCTATGTTAAAACCTGTCTCTACAGTCACCAGCATTCATTCTGACTTCTTTGTGTGTGAAAGGACAGCATGCAACTTGACCTGGCTCTCTTTCAGCTGTATTTCATTCACAGCTGGAGCCAGAGCTGCCAAAACAGGCAGTGGGTCTCCAGGCTCAGAGTTATTTAACTCCCACAGAGACAGAATGGCATCAGAACTCGCTCGTGCTACTCAGAAGTGGGAGCTGGAGGTTAGCTGCTCTAATGCCCAACAAAGACGGGCTCCCTGGCATGGTGAGGGGCTGAAAGCAGTCTAACCAATGACCAGCTGTGGCCCTCTGGAGGCCTTTCATCAGTCCCACAGAAGAGGCTTGCTTCCTGACTTGGAAGCTGTTGGAATATCAGTATCTTTGAATGATTCTTTACATGAATAAGGCAAAGTTGGGTTGGGGAGATCTAATATTTGGATGCTGTAATGGAGTAATGAATGGGACAGAGTGCACTATAAAAAATGAATGATAACAGCCTATGGTTGGCCTTGCATTTTGCCGTTCAGCTTAATCAGTCCAGTATTGGTAATAATAAGATAAAAGCATTAGTAAATTGGAGATATAAAGTATAACTTACACTGAACAAAATTATAAACGCAACACTTTTGTTTTTGCCCCCATTTTTCATGAGCTGAACTCAAAGATCTAAGACTTTTTCTATGTACACAAAAGGCCTATTTCTCTCAAATATTGTTCACAAATCTGTCTAAATCTGTGTTAGTGAGCACTTCTCCTTTGCCGAGATAATCCATCAACCTCACAGGTGTGGCATATCAAGACGCTGATTAGACAGCATGATTATTGCAAAGGTGTGCCTTCTTGGATACCCACTGTATGTATCTGCAGTAATGGTACAATGATGCATTAATGGAGGGCAGAAAGAAAACCAAACACATAACATCAGAAGAAACTGCAGGCAAGATGTCAAAAAGTCAATAAAGTATGAAGTCACTGGAGTCTCCCTATCCTGCAGCAAAAAGAGCATGTCCACAAAAGGACAGCAGAACAATATCACACATCACCCAAATAATTTTCTCTCACATGGTCTGCTAAATTTGCAGTGACACAATCCTAGACAAAATGATATATGCCTCAGTAGTGCCATACTTTTAACTAACTGCACAAAACCAGGCTGAAGTTTGTTCTAGGTAAGAACCACAGAGGAAAAAACATTTGACTGATAATTAAATTGACAAACCATAGATTGTTTATTTTTTTTATTTTTTTATGTCATTAAGGGGCAAGATTACAGTTATAGATCAGTATAAAAAAAATCAAATAATCAAGAATAATTTATACAGAAAAAAAGAAAAAGACAAAAATTGTGTACAGATGATCTGATCAGAATTTCTTCCATCAAAAAAATAACATGTACTATATTGCTTATTTCACAGACATACTCAGAAAACAAACCTGAACTTTATACTGAGTGCATCACAGATATAATGCCATTAATTTTTAATTTGGAAAAAAACAGTGATCAGCTCTTCCTGAAAAGCACTAATTCTAACAGTTCGGTACACTTTGTTCGGTACCTTTAGGGGTACAACATCTTGTTACTGGTACAGTACTCTTAAAAGAACATCTTTGTACTTTATTTAGCCCCTCAAAAAAATCATAATAGTACCTTAATGGTATATACTCTAAGGTACTAGAATACACTTTTTAGGGGTAGATAAGATACAAAGGTGTCCTTTTAAGGGTGCTGCCCCTGTGGCAATTTGTTGTACCCCTAAAGGTATAATTTTTTTTTTCTTTTTTTTTTCAGTGCAACGTTTTTCAGGATGACTGATAAAAATCCCAATGTGTTTTTACTCCTAGATGTTGGGTAGCAGCACCATGCAGCCAATCAAATTAGCACTGGCAATTTCAACCGGCACGTGCCATTTCTGTGGGCAATATGCATCAGATGGCCATTAAACAAACTGTGGGCGATCATTGGGTGTGCCGTCTGAGGCTGAGACTAATGCTTCAGTGCATGCATACACACACATCCCCTTGCACATCCCCTACATAAAGACAAGTCCTCAAAATGAACATATTAACTTTTATTGAGGTTAAACATTAGTACTAGTACACCTACATGAAGAACGTGTCTTTGTTTTATTGTTTAATTCACCACTAACCTTTATCAGCCCTTGTTTTTCTTGATTACCAGTATACATAAATGCTCTCAGGTAAATAAACATTATCTTATAATGTGTAATATACTGTAAATATTCTCTGGACAGCATTTGCATCAATGTGTGTAATAGCCCAGACTACAAAATATCTGTTGGGCGTTTGACAGACACATGGTGAACAATGCAGAGCTGAAGGGAAGGCCAAGGAGAGAGTGCTGTCTCACTAAAGTAAAATAAATCTTATCTGTCTGCATAGAGGTTGTCAAGAGTCAGCCAAATATTCCATTTAATCATTCAACATAATTAGAGAGAGTGAGAGACATTTGTTTTAACATAGACCTGAGAATGCCCCAGACAATGTCCAAGGACTTATTAACATTCCCCTGTTTGTTTCTAAAAATATCATATAGCCTAATTATAATTATTTAAGAAGTTGTAAATCGACCAACCACAAAAAACAAAACAGCCCATATCTTCTTCATGTAGGGTCAAATTAGGACGTCCTATCAAAACAAAATAAATAAAAAGCGCATTTACTCTGTTTAACATGTAACATGGTAAACATGGCAACATGTTAAACAAAATATGCATTGAGAAATTGAACATCATACATATAAAACTGTATATCAGTGGATCTGAAGGGTTTTTTGTGGAAGGAATTAATATGCATTAACCCAAAGTGATCCAACTTTCAACATACTGATGAAACTTTTAATCATGTCATGTTATGTATATGCAACTGTAAGACTATATATCTCAAATACAGCACATAATATTTACGATTTTATCTGGAGGACTGGACAGTGATAAAAGAAGAAAAACAGGAACATAGATGGGGAAAGAGCTCAGGAACAAGAAGGTAATTGTGTTATTATGTTTTTAAGACCATAACTGCTATAGTGGATGCACGTGCAGCAAAGATCATTCTCCAGTGGAAATGAGGACACTTCCCCCAGTCATAAGTATACTTAGACAGAGTGCAGTTGCGTCATACTTATTATAACTCAACATTGTCTTTTTGTTTAGATCAATATGTTTTATAAACTGAATGAGATGGTGAGGAATCTGCGTGGTCAGTTAATGGCAGTAATGAGCAGAAAGACATTAATAAGCCAACACTGACATACAGTAAAGAGAGGCTGGAGCAACAATTTGTGCCTGTAAGGGAGGTAATGTGTATATGTTAGAAAGGGAGTAACTGTGTGTTTGTGTGTGTTTCAGGCAGAGAGAAAGATATTCGACCTCTAGCAATTACAGTAGCGCCAAAGTAGTTGATGTGGGGCTGGGCCTGGGAAGAGGGAGGGAATGAAGTAGTAAGGGAGGGATGAAAGGAGGCTGTGGGAGGAGAACACTTGGAGAAAAAAGGGAAAGAGAGAAACTGATGCAAGCATCTCAGGCCGGCAAACTAGATGCACTAAGGAAGCCGAAGAAGATACAAGCTCTTTTTGTAGATGACTGCAGAATTCAGAGGGTGGTGAGCTCAAAACCAGAGGAAAGGTAGGAAATTAGCCTCAATAATTTATAGTCAGACATTGATGTGAAACTAGTAATAAATATGATGTATATTATTCTCATATATTGAATAAGAAAATATATTTTGTGTATTCATATACAGAAATACTGTAATACAGATAGTACACAGTACACAGATAGATAGTGGTCAGTTGGTCTTTTGGAGAAGTGAGCGAGTGTGTATGTACATGCAGCATTAAATGACACAAGCACAGAAACCACTGAATGCTTTAGGACTGCTGTAAACATTCACACAGTAGGAGAGCTGAAAATTACACATGTGGAAGTGAAAAAAAAGTGATAAGGACAGAAAGATCTCAGATGCAATTTCAAGCCTCACTGCTGATTAGCCAAACTTTTTAACTATGCTAACACAATTCCCGATTAGTCATCATATATGTTAGAGATAAACTAAAGACCAAGGGTTGTACATGTTCTCACACAAAAGCAGATATTCACAATACAGTCTTTAGTCATGAGTCATGTCAATCTCCCATAAAGATTCAGAACAGAAACTGGTGATTTAACACTTCCTGTACTCCTTGTGACCACTATCTGTTCGAATGGCAGCTCATTTTGAATGGCACAGCCTCATTCATTAGAGCCTAAATTGTTGCTTGCACATTCCTCTAGGCTAAACTACAAACGGCTGTTTGAGTTGTGTGAAATTTTACAAGCATCCACCAACCGCTTCCTGTTTGAGTGGCAGAGTCTTCTAAAGGGTTTCATATTGGAAAATGGAGAGAAATCAGCACTAATGGGTCCAATATCTGTATTTCACTTATCATATCATGGTGTCATTAGACATCTTAATTGTTACATATTTATTAACATATTCTGTATATGAGTTTGCTTATAGGCCCAAGACCCCAATGACGTTGGGCTGGGTAACAACTAGTTGGGATCTGGGTGTTGTTTTTTGTTCAGTCTTGTTTACTTTGTTTCATTTTTTTCAACTTTTACTGCTAGTCTCATGCCAAAACACACATCTTTTCTAAAATGTATAATGCTGTTTTATTCGTGGTCTTCCGATACAATTAAAAATAAAGGTAAACTAAATAAATAAAATTGCTGTATTTTTAACAGTATCAGTTCACATCATTCTCACCTGTTTATATAATCTTCCAGTACAGAGAGGTAAACAGATTAGTGTGGCTTGAGCTCTAGGCTAATTGGAACCTTTATTTTTAAAATGCAGGTTTGATATGGACAACCCATCTGCCCACGTTACAACTTTAATAAAGATAAAAATTAAAAGTTACAAAAAAACTGATGTCACATTTGTAATCTAGTCTGTTTTCTTCGCATGTGTTTTGCAGATGTCATGGCGGCCGACCTACCGGAACTCCAAGTTTCGAAACGTCTACGGCAAAGTGGCCAATCGAGAGCACTGCTTCGAGGGCATCCCGATCACAAAGAACGTCCATGACAACCACTTCTGCGCGGTCAACGCCAAGTTCCTCGCCATAGTAACGGAGAGCGCGGGAGGAGGATCCTTCGTTGTTATCCCGGTCACTCAGGTAACCACGGCAACATAGCACGCGCGCGTACTCGAGACAGATTTGTTTTATGGCTTGCGCTGAATTCATGACCTACACAATGTAGGGCGTCAGACTAGCACAAATAGCGACATGAATGGTGCGAACCTTTCAAGAGCCTTATTTTTGCAACATACATCCAGGCAGTGAGTTTAAAATGGAGGTTGCGTTGGTTGGTGCGTAATACTGCGTATAGGGGAGAACGGTAAGTGTTGTGAAATGGAGTTAAACCCGTCATTTTAACCAATTATGAGCTACATGGGTGAAATGTCACTCATTAACGGCACAGTCCAATATATAGTTTATTTATTTATCGATTTTTACAAAAGATGAGACCAAATGGACATCTTTCATTAGGAAACAAAAGTATATGGGGATATAATGCAATATAAGTAACCTTTATACAATACTGATTGTGTCAAAGCAGCTTTAAAGTGTCAAGCAGGAAAATAGTTTGGCAATAATGCAAGTGGACAATAACAAAAAGTCATTTTTTCAGCTAAAGTAAGTTCATTGATGATTCAGTGATTCAGTGCCATCATCCAGTTTAGCTCTCTTCAAATAGTGTCTGTCTGTGCAGTCACTCAGTCAAGCCATATATTACATAATACATTTACATATATGGGAAACTAGTGCTTATATTTTTCAATATACTGCAATATATGCATTGACCATGTATGGCTATATATTGATACATATAAAAATGAGGACAAAAACAGCATTACATGTAATATTCATAAAGTTTTATCCTTTATTGTGCACACATATATTGCACATACATGTTCCCATATAAATGTGAATGTATGTACACGCATATATACAATCATTCACAGATTTCAGCAGATTTCTAGTTCCCAGCATGCTTTGCTTCTGACTGTTAAAGGAGAGTAAATCTTAAATTTAAGTGTTATTTCATGTGTTTTGATCAATATTAATATAGTGGGACATCTGTTATTGTTTAATGTTCTATTATTGTTATTATTGTTTTTTTGTTGTTGTTGTTGTTTAAAAGGGTTTCTGGTATTTTTGAGTTTTTGTGGTGCCTGTGGTTAGGATGACCAAACACCATTAAGACTATATATTACTTTATTTAAAAAGTAATGGCTGTGCACTCTTCAGCACGCTGATAGTCTCTTTGCTAAATAATTTAGTACAAGCAGGTGTGCTTGTGCTGTTGTTAACTAGCTATATATGAAAATATGAAACATGTAAATATTTATAAAACTAAGAAATATACATGTGTGTGTATATATACTGCATGAGTAAATATATGTGTGTGTGTGTGTGTGTGTGTGTGTATGTATACACACACACATGCAGTACCATATCTTATCACATGTACATCTATATGTTATGAAGTGTATTACTGAATATAAAATTGCATATATTGTAATATATAATTAAACATATTGTCACATATTTTTCGATATATGAAAGCGGCAATTCCTTATGTAGTCAATATATTGTAATATATTAACACAATATATTATTCTATATGTTTTCAATTTACCTTTAAATCATTTAATATATTGATCATTGATCTGCTGATTGGCTTCATCACTCTGTCTCCTCTCCACCAATAAGCTGGTGTGTGGTGGGCGTTCTGGCGCAATATGGCTGCCGTCGCATCATCCAGGTGGATGCTGCACACTGGTGGCGGACGAGGAGATCCCCCTGACAATGTAAAGCGCTTTGAGTGCCCAGAATAGCGCTATATAAATGTAATGAATTATTATTATTATTATTATCATTCATATATAAGGAAATATATTTTCTTTGCGTAAGGGTTGTCAGAATTATCTCACTTCTGAGGACAAATTTGCCCCAAAGCATGACCAAGTACACACAATAACTACACACACTGTTATGGTTTTTAGTGTGTGTGTGTGTGTGTGCATTTATGTGTGAATTAAAATTCATGTTTTAAAAAATTTTTTTTTACCATGTTTAAGTAATGCAAATATTAAAAAAATAATAATAATAGTTACAACCTACCCCAGTGCTCTTTGTACTTGACTTTAATTTCTAGCAGTCAGACATGGGAATATTAAATCAAAGTTTGAGACACAAAGCACAAAGCAAAAAATACTGTAGAAAATACATTCTTAATAGAAATACGTTCTTATAAAGGCACATGTGGTGCACACTTAAAGAAACCCACAGGCCTCTGTCTGTCTCTCACTCTCTCTTTCTTCAACTAATACTTTAGTTGGCTCTGTTGTAGAGTATTATGCATTTCTTTTGCATGGTTTAGGTTCCCTTTGCACCAATACACAGTCATTTCATGATAACTTACATGCTGTTCTGAATGAAAATATCTCTTTCAACATGATTATATTGCATCCAGAGAGCACAATAAAGTCAAATTAATGAGCAGAATGTTATGTTATTGCCCTGTTGAAAATGAGGTGAATTGTGTAGTAATTTTGAAGATCACAAATGTTTGTTTTTGCATCTTTTAAGAGCAAGTATGCTATCTCCATTACCCCTGACTCCATGGAACCATGAAGTCTCTCACCCAGTGGCTTGACATGCTCTAAATGGAATATTTCTGTTACCCTGTTCACAGGCCAAGAAAAAGCCTGACTAGTGAGCAGATGCTTTTCCTTTGTTTGATCTCTGGCTTTAATGCTGTAAAAGAGACAAGCACTGGAAGCTGTAAACTCCTGGTGATTGACACTGATATAACAGTGGTGTGGACATCAAATCAATGTAGACATCAATGTGCTCTGGCTGGAACAGACCAGCTTTATATGTCTGCTTCATATGGAAAGATAGAAGACAAGGTTTCTGTATGTTAAAGAGATAGTTTACCAAAAAATTAATATTCTGTCATAATTTACTCACCCTCACACTCTCATGTTGTTTCAAACCTGTACAACTTTCTTTCTTCTACAAAATATATTTTGAAGAATGTTGGAAACCAAACAGTTTTGGTCGCCACTGACTTCTATTGTATGGCCAAAAAAAAAAAAGTCATACAGATTTGGAACAACATGAGGGTGAGTAAATGCTAACATAATTTTTGAGTGAACTATCCCTCTAAGTTATTATCTTTTTGTAACTATGTTACTGAGTCCTAAAGATACAACATGCAAAGTTAGTGAATTTAAATGTTCCTCCAAATTCCACCTCCACAGCAAGTGGACAGAATGCACAAAAAGCACAGGCAGAAAAAATGACTCACACACTGTTTATCATTGATATGACAATAAGAATTTGGCGGACAGCCTCTGATGTCCCATTCTTCTCTTCAGTCATCTCTCTTCTTTATTCTGTCTATTCTTCTGTTCCTCCTCTTGAGTGCATCCGGTCATGCTACACTGCTCAGTGGCCCTGCAGACCCTCGGTCATGGTATCAGCCAACTTGGATAAACTATCAATAGCACTTTTGTGATGAACATTCAGAGTCGCCCAGTTAATGTGTGATGTAGAAGGCCAGCTTTGTGCCCTTAATGTGCTTATTCCACAGTGTTCGTGACTCCAACTGGGCTCCCAGGCCTTGGAAAAGAGTTCAGTCCCTCTGACTTCCGTATATGTCTCTTTGGACGCCACGTGGGGCTATTTTTTCCCAGCTTCTTCATTCTCCATCTCCCTTTTGTCTCTGTCTTTCTCAGTCTAGCACTGACAGCTCCCTGCAAAGTTTACATACTTACTGTAATACTGAGAAATTCTCTGTCACCATCACTGAAATCTGCCATAGAGATCAGAGAAATCACTGTGAAGCTATAGTTCATCTTTAGCTGCATTATGTAACCAATATATGTGACCCTGGACCACAAAACCAGCCTTAAGTCGCTGGGGTATATTTATAGCAATAGCCAAAAAAACATTGTATGGGTCAAAATGATTGATTTTTCTTTTATGCCAAAAATCATTAGGATATTAAGTAAAGATCATGTTCCATGAAGATATTTTGTCAATTTCCTACCGTAAATATATCAAAGTAAGCTTTAGCATTTTTGTTTTTTTAGATATTTACAGCCATATATATGCTGTATATATATATACAGGTGCATCTCAATAAATTAGAAAGTTGTGGAAAAGTTCATTTATTTCAGTAATTCAACTCAAATTGTGAAACTCGTGTTTGAATTACTGAAATAAATGAACTTTTCCACGACATTCTAATTTATTGAGATGCACCTGTATATGCTGTATATATTAATATATATTTTTTTAAATAACAGCTTGTGTGAAGTTTGGCAGTTTAATGCAATTTTGTATTTTTTGTAATGTGTGTATGTAGATTATTAAATCTTTCTAATGTGTTTTTTTCAATCCAAGACATTAGTCTATATTACAGAGACAACTGTCTGATTAAGAATAAGCAATTATCATAGTACATTTGAAATCCAGACACATGGGAGCAATATAGTGGCAGAACATTGGCTTTTCAGATGGAATTCCTCATTTGACAAAGGAGCTTCAGTTGTGGAATGGAAACTGCATTCAGAAACCATGATGAGATGGCCCAGGAAAAGAGAAAAAAAAGAGCATGAATACAAGACTGGTTTTCGCGTTGATGTCACCGTTAACTGTTTAACCATTTGGAAATGAAACCGTTCCTTTCCTTGACCTGCTAAGCTGCTGTTGACAGAAACTTCTGTGAAAGATAATGTGTGAGGTGGTGCTGTAATGGTATGGGATGATATCAGAATTCTTAAAATAATGCAGGCTCAAGCCGGCAGGCACACAGTTATACACACACACACACACACACACACACACACATATAAAAGGGAGTTAGGCCGTCTGGCAACACTGATAGGAAACTGCCAACCAGTTCAGACTAACATGGCCAAAAGTGCTTTTTACTAGACACATCCATTTTTATAATGCCTCAGTTTGCATACAGTAAACTCGGAAACTGTAATGCCCTTTGTTTAGAATTTTGTTCAGAAACCATGTAAAATGATAGAAGAATGCAGGATCATTTTGAACAGGCTTTAGAAAAGCCAGTCATGTTCTGATTATGTATCTGGTGTAAAACTCCATACTCCTCCTGCTGTCTCTGAATATCTACAACAGAATAATAATCATTTGTTAGGCTCTGCCTATGATCAGTTTTTCGCAAATAATTTATTAATTAGCAAAAAATTATAATTTTATAATATGCTATAATTTTGCATATACAGTATGTGCAGGCAGGTTTACATTTCTCTGTGTTAAAAAAGTAAATACTTTGTTGTACTGTTATAAACATGAGAGGAAATTATGTTTGCTGCATTTAACATTTAGAAAAATAGTTTCTGCCTCTTAAGTTCTAGTACAGGTCTAGTGAGTCATTACTCATTCGTTATTGTATTTAGCATATTTATTTAGAGAGTAAAATGATAATGTGTATTCAGAAATGTGTTTAGTGTGTGATTAGGATTCATAAACATAATAGCATCATAATCAAACCTGAACTTCTAAACCTGTATACAATAGACACTGATATAGCATACTCTGGACTGTCCCATAATAATGTTGTATTGACTTAATATTTAGATGTAGATATTCATGTGACACTAATTGAAGCCATATAACTTCTCTGCTAAGGATGTTAAATTTGTCCTCTAAGAAAACACCACTTTTTTTTTTTTTACAAGAATGTGCTATCAGAGAAGCACATCCAATGACATCATAATTAGTGTAATCACATGGCTGTTCCTCACGCATCATTGTGTTGCTCACAATAGGGTGTGTGGCTAAATATATTATCTCCTTTTGTCTCTGACTGTAAGATCTCAGACAGCGACTACTCAGCCTGATCTGCAGCCAACACATCTGTGTCAACAACCGTCCGCCGCCAACACACTCCTACACACAAATCCGTAACTATGTTGCACAAAGAATAACAATAAGCAAGAATTTAAAAAAGAATAATTGGAGAGAGGAAACTGAGAAATAGCCGTAAGAAGAAAAAGCATCTCATTTCGACACTTTGGCAAATGCAATTAAAAGATTGTTAAAGCGGTCATATTATACCTTTAGTTATTTATTTACTTATTCCCCCGAGGTCAACTAATAATGTTAGTAGTTTTAATAAAGTAATACTTTAAAGTCACTTTATTTATTTATGTATGTATTTTATATTTTTATTCTTTGGCTGCTGTGCCTTTAGTTATGCCCTGTTTGTATAAGTTGTTTTGTTTCTAATCTAATAAATTTGCTTTTTGATTTGAATTGTTTGTATGAATAAGCAAAGGATGAGTCTAAGAGCTAGCCTATATGTAGTCTTGGAAAACACCTTGACAAATCAGAAATCCTCACATGTATGCAAACATTTGAACAAGTGTAACTGAGTGCTTTGGTCACAGTAGTAAAAGCTTTGCTATTTTATAATTGGTCATGTTTTCTGTGTTCTTTTGAGTTTTGATCTCCTGTGGGAAATCAAGGAAAAATTCTATTAAATGAACACCCCTCAAGCAATCACAGTGCTAATTTAATGCAATAATCTAACACAGAGCAAATCATAGACATGATTTCCATCATGCTAATCTTGGAGAATAGCACAGAGAGCACAGACACGGGGACAGAAAATTTGAGACAGCAACGAGTTCATTGCATATGCTACCAAAAAGCAACATGCATCAATATCAAGCTGCTTTTGCTTTTTCATCTTTCTTGACTAAGCATACAAAAATTTTTCAACAATGAAATGACTGTGCAGGGCTGTACGTTAACTTTTTTTTCACATAGCACTGGTGCTACAGAGGTTGACTCTTCTTAGAGCACCAGCATTACTATCTCATTGCATTGTATTGAAGGCCTGACCTATAGATGAAGAGTCTTTAAGCAGACCACTCAGGGTGCGCTCAGGCATGAGCTGAACTACAAATCCCACAGGACCTCAGAAGGAGGTCATTGGACTAAAGTGACATCAAACATTCATGACATCATGACTAACCTTCTGTCTACTACTGATTGTATGACTGTAGTTATGTAGCGCCACACAGTGGACGTTTGTGTGTATTACAAGTGTGAAAAAGTGACGTGACATGTGGCCAAGTATGGTGACCTATACTTGGAATTAGTGCTCTGCATTTAACCCATCCAAAGTGCTCTAACCATTAGGCCAATACTTCCCCAAATGGAGCTGTATTTGTGCAGGTGTGATATTGTCAGATTGTATAAACCTATATCAGACATCTCATAAAAAAGTGAATGTTTTCAACTATCCATAAGTATATATATATTTTTAAATCTTTTTATGTTTGTCCATACATTCTTTTGTTTATATCCTTAGTCACATGGGGGGACATTAGATCGGTAACCTTTACTTCTCTCTTGCAGTTTGGCCGTATCGACCCTCACTATCCAAAGGTCTGCGGTCACCAAGGAAACGTGCTGGACATCAAATGGAATCCTTTCCATGAAAACATAATCGCTTCTTGTTCAGAGGACTCTTCTGTGAGTAAACCTAAAATGCAAAATCACAATGGTCAAATTAGTCAGCATCATTTAAATAATCGGGGGAAACCTCTTTCTGTGCAATGAAAACTTGTTTCAGTTGTTGGTTTATTTTTGGTTTCATAAACAGAAAACCAGCATTTACTTTTCATGATGTGCATGGTTGTGGAAGAATTTTTACCAACACATGAACCTGAAACATTATTCTGTCGAACAGAACCAAAACTATCACTTAAATAGAAACTGTTTATTAAACCTATATATAAGGAAAGGCATAAACATTTAATGTCAGTTTCATGTGTGTAAGTTTGTTTTACAGAAATCATATTACTTTACTCTGTAAATAATAATAATGTAAGTATAAAATAAATGAAATTATAATTATATTTAGAATAATATAAATTAAAGAATAAATGTTAAACACACACACACACACTCAGAAAGATGCCCAAAATGCCTTGCTCAAAATCAAAGTAGGGATAGAGCAGGTGAAAACATATGATGATAATAATGATGATTAGATGGCTCTCAGGAATACTTGATCACTGTAATGCTTCAGTATATGTCTTATGTTGTATCTGTCATTCGAGACTAATTTAACCATTTATGAAGTTATAGATTAATAACTAACCTGACATTAGAGTTTAAAACTGCTTTTTAAAATTGTGCTATTAATTCAAAAGTGCTATTTGCATTTGCATGTGAATGTGAATGTGTCAGGTGCGAATATGGGAGATTCCTGATGGTGGACTGAGGAGGAATTTGACAGAGTCTGTATTAGAACTGTATGGCCACAGCAGGCGTGTGGGTCTCATAGAGTGGCACCCAACCACTAGTGGGATTCTCTTCAGTGCTGGCTATGACTATAAGGTAATTCAATATTTTGTAAATAATACAAAAAAGATCTGCACACTGTTATTCTCCCTTTATTTAGAAAAAGTTAAAAGTGGCCATTTTAACTTTTTCTAAATAAAGGGAGAATTACAGTGTGCAGATCTTTTTTGTATTATTTGATATAATTTGTGATCTTGCACCTGGCCAAGACGCTTTGGATGTGCGTACCTTGACCTTTTTTAAATTAAATCTTTTGTAACAATTTGAAATTCTTTAATTCAGTAATATGTGCTATAAAATGAAAACATCAAATTTAAAGGGGTCATCGGATGCAAAATTCACTTTTGTTGTTGTTTGAACATAAATGTGTGTACACATCCACCCTATAATGATAAAAATCCACCCAGTGTTTTTTTTTCAAATCCCTATTTTCAAATCCCCTTTCTCAAATCAGGCTGTTCTGAGATTCCTGTCAGAATGACGTAGTTCTGCACAGGACCCTCCCATGGTATTGATTGACAAGGCCGTCTTACCTTAGAT